CATAATTATATATAATAATTGAAAATGGAAACAAATTCGGGGAGAATTTAACTCCACATTTTCTTCTTGGATACGCCTGCATTAATATTCAATTCAAACAACAAAAAAAAGGCCGAGACATAAATATCCTAAATTCAATCTAAATTATATCTCTCGTTATGAACATTTGAGAGATGACCTGATCTGGCTGTATACAATTGACATATGTTATGTCGTTGGTTATGGACCTATATCACATCTCGTAAATAAAAAAGTTTAAAAAATTTTAAAAGATCGCGTTCGAAAAGTACAAGTGTCTTGCAATTATTTAAAATGATCTTGATGTATGACATTGGATTATAAATATCAACGCTATCGTCAATTGTTACAAAATTCTTATCAACTAGTCAACTGGCAGATTATTTCGGAGCAAGGAGACAAAACGAGAAAAAAAGGAGATTGTATAAATTTACGTTCAATTTACAGAAAATTTTGTTTAATTAATTATATTATACGGTAAAATATAAAATAACATTTATATATTAATAATATATTTAATATAATTATATATTTAATAATATATATTTTTTATTATTAATAATATATTTCTTTTTCAGGATAAAAAGACATTTGTACCGATAAAATCGCGCATGAATAGAATTAAGAAATTAATAGTATAAATAATAATCTTTCATTGGCAGAATTATAAGGGCGTAATGTATGTTTAAAGCCGTTGTACAAAAATTGACATAAAGATGTACGTTTAAGAAAAATATAGAAACAAATTAAATCGTAAAATATTCGATATATTTTATTATGCTATTTGATAAAATACATTGGACATTTTATCAATTGAGATATCTCACTTTTACATTTAAATTAGAATAATGTACAACAGCTTTAATGTGCGTCGTTCTGCGAACTAGTTCTGCCAATGAAAAACTCTACAAATGTACATAGATTATAATATAGTAAAGACTAACCTCATCTTCCTCTTTGTTACCACTCGTGGAGTAATAAAAAGGAATAGGCTTATTGGAGTCCGTCATATCTGAGCGATGATGTATCTCTTCCGCAGTGAATGAGATAACTGTTTGGATCAGTCAGAAATCTCAAAAATAAATTCACGATGATAAGGCTAACAGCTGAGTACAGATTGGTATAAACGTCAATTGTGCAATGTGCGATGCCTGCCGCCTATCGGAGTCGGAACACTAATTCTGATACGACCGATTTGGTACATGCGCAGTAAAGCAAGCGATAGCTCAGACCTTAAATATTATATATAGAGGTTGATATTCGTAGTCGATTCTTAGGATGGAGCATAACATTTTTTCTTCTTTCTTTTTTTTTAAATAAAAGACGCAAAAGATTGATTTTCTTATGCTTCGCAAAGATCTGCGCTGGCTATTTACGAGGACAAATCAATAAGTACCCGTGTTTCAAGACAGGTGTTGTTGATGCAAGTTGACATTACCATCGGGTACTACCATCTTTCAAACGACGCCATACAAAATTTCAGAGTGATTCATGCAACACTCTTAATTTGACAGCAATTCGTAGTGAGCGTGTTTGATGTTTTCCGATACAATGGAAAAAGAGCAATATCGATCCGTGATTCGTTTCTTATTTTTGGATGGAAAAACGTATGAAGTAATAAAAACGAAGTTGGATGCCTGTCTATGAGAACTCTTCATCTATGACAACCGTCAGATATTGGTTCAACGAATTCCAACGTGATCGTTCATCTGTTTTTGATGAGGAGCGCCCAAGCCGCCCGGCAGACGTGGTTACTGAAGAAATCGTTGAAAAAGTCCACGACATAATTCTAGACGATCGCCGAAAGTGCATGAAGTAGCAGAGACCGTAGACGTATCGAACGACATTCAATTTTGCATGATAATTTGGGAATGAAAAAAACTATCGGCCCGATAAGTGCCGCGATTGCTCACGGTGGATAACAACCGGATGCGGATTAACAATTTCAAAGGTCAATTTTAAAGGTCAATTTGATGGTCGAATTGCGCTACGAATTGCTACATCGATCGTACTCTCCGGATTTAGCCCCATGTGACTTCTTCTTGTTTTCAAACTTAAAAAAATGGCTCGGTAGAAAGAAATTCACGTCGAATGAGGAGGTCATCGCCGAAACAGAGACCTATTTTGCAGAGTTCGAATCAAATCGCATTTTTCTGAGGGGTTAAAAAAATGGCAAAAGCGTTGAAAAAAGTGTATCCTCCTAAAAGGGGATTACGTTGAAAAATAAAAAAAAATTTTTGTAAAAAGCTTGCTTCATTACTAACACAGGTACTTATTGATTTGCCCTCGTATATTTTAGACTGTCTTGAGATGACAAATCGATATAAATGATATGCATATATCATTATAATGCATAATATTATACTTTATCATAGATACGCAATTCTTGTTTTCCATAATATAAATGATGTTTACTATTAAACATTAAAAATAGAAAAATGACACGATAAATAATGTATAATAATAAAAAAACGTCATTGAATCTCTCATAAAAAGGAAATGATAAAAATAAGAGTAGAAAATTGTTCAAGAAAATTTTCCAAGAAAATATTGTACTTAATATTTTCTTAGAAAAATGATGAAGAAAATAAAAAGGCTTTTGAAAGATTTTGTTTCTGTTCCCTCTTAAAGAAATCTAGCTAATACTAGCCAATACTAAAAGACAATAATTAATTACTGACTAAAAGCACATTCAATACTTTTATTACTCCAAATAAGTAATTAATTATTGTCTTTCAGTAATAAATTGACTAATATTATATTAGATTCCTGTAAAGGCAATTTACTTTCTTTATTAAAATATTATTGATATATGACTAATTCGTTCTATTTATATTATAAACTTTCAAGTTTAGTCCTTCAAAGACCACTAATTGTAGTGTAAAAAATAAAGATCGACGTTGATTTTGAAATTCGTAATAAATTATGATAAAGTATAATCATCGATTAAGTCAATTTAAATTTGAAATTATTCTATCATTTTCGTAAATATCGTTATATCTGGGATATTCAAGAGAATAGTAACGACCAATCAGATTGACTATCACGTTCTTTCTATTCCCTCCGAGCAACTGAAAATACATCTTGCATTCCCATCGATTACTTTCTTACTTCATGACAATATCATGAACGTAGGACGCATGCGCATCGAGATGACGCGCACTCGGCGCACTGAGCGTGATGCGTTTCCGGAGTTCGGTGGCCTCGTCAATGTTCGGAGTGTTTTCGGGCAGTTTCGCAAGACGCGTCGTCGGACGACGGTAAGTACAGTCTGTCGTCGATTGACGTCACTCGTCTCCTCTTTTGCTTTGAAATCATTTGAAATATGAGCGCCGGTGACAGAAGCCGCGCTGTCGCGTTGTGTCGTCGTCGTCGCTGTGTCAGCACAAAGTGTACAATCGTGTGAGGAAGACGAACAAGAAGAAGGACGAAGAGAAGGCGGAGAGGAAACGGATAAACGTTGCAGCGCGGCGTCGCGAAAAGGTCAGCCCCTATCGAGCACCTCGAGAGTAATCGAGAGAAGGCGATGTCGCCTCCCGCGGCCGATGACACGTCCAATATAATTCGCGAAAGGAGGGAAGAGAGACGTCTCCGCGCACGTCGCGTCCGTCCGTCCGTCTTCCTATCGACCTCCCTTCCTCGAGCACGTCCTTGAACGTTGACGCCGGTTTCCCATGGGATCTTCTCTTCGCGTCACGTTCCTTCTCGTCACGTCGCACTCCAGGCTATTATTTATTTGCTGCCACACAGCATGGTATCCTATCGCTATCGCACTGAGATCTTGACACACTTCGATCTTAAGCTCTGTCTCTTTAACAACGAGAATCGCGAAGGGAATGCGTAAACACGTATGACGTATGTACGTATATACATCTACCGAATTTAGCACTGAACGCAGCGGCGGTGTCTCGTCGACGATGGAATTTTTCGATCGCGAGTGTGAATAATGGCCTCGTGCCTACGAATAATTTACGGGTATTATGACGATGGAAAAATGAGCTATGTAAATTTTTTCTGATTGTCATCGTTCTGCCTGTCTTTTTTTTCCCTCCTTTTCATTATGAAAGTACAACTGACCTTTGTGTTCCTGACGGAGCAAATTTTTATTATACGTGCGTGTTTCCTAATGATTTCTGCGTCTTTTGAAAAATCACCATTTATTATTTCACGGCTGACAAAAGTAAGTTGACACCAGCGGGATACAAGTCGAGCCAGCTGAGCACCGAGCGACAGTTGGAAAATCGACAGCCTCCCGAGCTTGGATTTTTCCTATGATGAAATGCTTCGATCACGATGATGCAAGAGAGAGAACGATCTCGTAGGAGAGCGTGAGACTTAGTCACGCGTCTTAAAGACCATTCGTTGATGTTTGCGAATACTAATGCAGCGGTACATTCCTCCACGAACATACGCCGCTGTCCCACTTTACGTTCCTTCTTTCCTCTGTTTCGCCTTCCTCCTCGATTGTTCAACCCCGCCCGCTGTCAGTCGGCAGTCCGTACTCGCATCTCTCATTGCACCGGAATGAGCTGCTCCGGAATGAGCTCCTCCGATCCGCTAATTAACAGGGTTTCGAATCAGGATGAATGAATCTCTTTCACGCAACCGAATGTTTCTCGCTAATGTATAATGCTATAGTTATTATCGTAGTAATTAATGCGATAACATGGAGACCGTTAGAAAAATAGCTCTGTTGACGAATCATCGTGAATCTGCTTCAAAATAAGAGCAGGGTCTTTACATATCACTCTCGTGCGCATTTCATGTATAAAAGGAATGATTTTACTGCAGTATTTAAAAATTTAGGTAGATATGGAGCTGAAAATAATTTTGTTGGAACCATCGAAAGAATTATGTAGGACAAGCATGTTGATCGATATTGTACAATGTTTTTATATTTCAGCAATCAGTTTGAACGTCCTACATAATTATTTCGATAGTCCAACACAATTATTTTCAGATCTGTATTTCTAAATTTTTAGATACTTGAGCAAAACCGTTGATTTTAATGGACTATTAAAATTATATGGGACGAAATAAATAATTATAACAAATAATTATAACGTGGTTTATAAATCAAAATATACAAAAAGAGGAGCATAAAACCACAGCACTAGATATTGTGAAATTTAATTAAATCATTAATAAAAAAATCTTCAGACGTTTATACATATTTATATTTAGAATACGTTTATATATATAATATTTATATTTTTGATAACTGAATTTAATGTCAGATTTATGTAAATTCTGCGTTTTACTATTAGGTGTTGGAATTAATTCGTAGCGTTTTACAAGTGATGGGAAGTACTTTCATTAATGTATTTTTTAATGCTCATGTGAAATAAATAACATTCTTTCATTAAAAACGCTACGAATTAATTCCAACACCTAATAATATTTGTTATTTTTTACTGAAGATGGCCAGATTGTTGCCGAAACATCTAAAGATTTTTTATTAATGTAATGATTTATTAAATTTCACAATAGTGCTGTGATTTTATATTCCTCTTTTTGTTTATATGGGACGCTTAAACTAATTGCTAGAATGTCAAAACTTTTACAGCACTATTCATCATGCTTGAGTTTACTATAACTATTTTGATGGTTCAAAAAATTATTTTTAGATTTGTATTTAGCTAAACTTTTAGATACTTCAGCAAAATCATTCTTTCCGTGTAAATTTAGACATGTTTTAGACAATCACTGAATGTATGTGTATAATCTAGTTAAATAGGCTGACTAATATCTGGCTTACTGGCTTCCCTTATTTTTTCAATCTCTCAAAATAAAAATATCAATCGATAATTTGTTCTCAAAGTTCGTTATCCTACCGAATAGAATACATGCATCGAGTCGAGAATCTTGAGTGCATCGCACCGAGGGATTCGATCGGATCGCTACATCGCGTCGGATTAAACAAGAGTTTCATAGTCGATCGCTTCGCGCCTCGGAAAACTCGTGGAGCGGAGAATGTCGGTCATGTTGATGATATTTTTGGAACGATCAGTGTTTTTATGATCTATTGAAGTTACGATGCAATCGCCACCGCGGGTTTCCGACTTTCGATCATCTCGTTATCTCTACGATCGCAACGATAAGCTTCAATTGTATCTAATCTCACATTGATAAACATTTTATGATCGCCGGACAATGATCATTTTAATGACGATGATCGACATAATCTTCTTGTTTTTTTATATGCAACTTATTCACGATATTTGTAGCGAGACAAAATGCAATATTCAGTAAGCAAACGTATTCATAGTGTTACATACTTAACATTTGCTTATTTTATAATAATTATAGTATATTTAGTGCATGTACGAAAAAACGGATTATATTGTGAAATTTAATAAATCATTAATAAAAAATCTTCAGACGTTTATATACATATTTATATTTAGAATGTTTATATATATAAGAACGTTTATATATATAATAATTATATTTTTGATAACTGAATTTAATGTCAGATTTATGTAAATTCTGCGTTTTACTAATATTTGTTATTGTTTAATGAAGATTGCCAGATTGTTGCCGAAACATCTAAAGATTTTTTATTAATGTAATGTGTTTTATTGAAATATCTGAAAATTTAATTTGGTATAAATCTAAAAATTTGTTGGACATGTTTAAATTTACACGGAAAGAATAATTTTGCTGAAGTATCTAAAAGTTTAGCTAAATACAAATCTGAAAATAATTTTCTTGGACCATCAAAATAATTATGTAGCAGATTTAAGCATGACGATAATATTGCAAAAAATTTAGACATTCTAGCAATCAATTTGAGCTTCCTTATCCAATTATTTTTATGATCCTATAAAATTCTTTTCAAATTTGTGTCTAGTTAAATTTTTAGATACTTTAACAAAATCCTTCTTTCCGTATTTAATACTTACAAATATATTTATTTTGGACACATTGGGAAAGATTCATCTAATTGGGGAATGAATTAATTAGATATCCGGGATCGCAGCGATGTTCAAGACGACTACCTGTAAGATGTTGGTCCAGGTGTCGGCCGTACTGCCAGATGACAGACCAATAACTGCCATTAGTGTTGTGGAAGACTTAGACAAGTGTCCACCCAACTTTACAGTGGTACGCGCATTAATTCACTTTATTATTGCTCGTCGCGGTGGTCAGGGATGATTGATATATATCTCGTTAAGGTATCGAGAACTTACGATCAGGATACCGACGCTGATCTATGGAGGGAGAGTGGACTGTTCATCAAGAAGAAGGGTAGATATATCTGCTTCTCAAAGACTGAGGGCCAGCCGAACTGCGTGGTCGAGGATATCATGGTGATTAACGAGCGAGACACTCCGCCGGAAGGATACAGCATGATCTCTTACACCGTGGATTCGAGTAAGCCTTTCTGTTTGACAGCAATGCCTGCCGTCTGCGGATAAAAAAATATGCAAATTTTTACAAATAAATCGCGGTAAATGTTGCAGGGCAGAAAGCATGGCGGAAAAAACAGGTGTGCTACAAAATTAGGAATAAGGACCTGTGTACGAAAGCGGTCACAGATATAATAATATGCAGCAGGACAACTCCAAACCATAAGGTTTACTCCAAACTGGCTCCTGTTGGATTTTCCGCTGCTGGGTATGTCAACTCTTTAAACTTTTAATTAGATCAGCTTTAAGTTGGCTTCGTGAATTTTTTATCTGTGTTTTTGTAACAACTCAATAGAAAATAAACGCAATAACAAATTGCCGTAATTTATTATACATATATGTAAATATAGATAAACACGGAACTTGTGTATTAGAAATATATATGGAATATAAAAAGTTAATGCAATATTTTTATCGTGATGTATATTGTTTCTTATATTTTTTCTTTCAGTACTATAAATGGTGTTCATGTATGCTACAAGACCGTAGATATCACAAATGCGAATTTGGAGTCGCAGTCGTACGTTAATATAGAGTAAGTTTCAACACATCAAGCCAAGTATCGATTTCGTGCTATAAATATACGTATTTTATGATACTTCCAGCTTACTGCAAAGTCCTTCTCCAAATCCGTCGAATGGAATCTTTCACAGGCCAGCCCCTGAGAGGCCCCCGAAACCAAAGTTCTCACCAAAACCACCGGCCAATGGGCTTTATCCGCAAGTCGGCAGCACCACTAACAAGGATGACGAACTCAGCGATCGAGATTATGAGGTCTTAAGTCCTAACGCGAGGATCAGGCCAACGAGGCCCGCCCCACAACCGCCTATGTCCACGACATCCACCGTCACATCAAATCTCGATGGGGTTCCGTTCGCGCTTAATCCTCGTCTTATTACTAATCATAGTTCTGCCAGTGTGAGTATAATAATTTGAAACTTGTACAAAAATTAAAGTGCAATTAAGACATTTATTTTTACAACTTAATGATATATTTTTTTTTCTCGATAGAACAAACTTCCTGTTATCAAAGTATGGACACAGAAGGACTTAGATAGAGAGGTACGTATATTTTTTTCAATTTTTAAAAATAACTGATAATTGAGACAAATAACTGATATGATGTTTTGTCGCAGTTCTTCTATGACTTTCGTGCGGAAAGAGAAACTTGAAAGACGACAGCTTGCCAAAACTAATTCGAGTTCTCGAGCGTTTTTTCGCAGTACTTGTACACGTTCGTATCCGATATAATGCTAATCAACAAGCGTAAATGGAGTGCCTGAACGAGTGATTTGTACTAACCCGCGAGAGAATGAAGCCTGCATGACGCTTAAAATGGGGATTGTGTAATGTTTAAGAAGGAATAAGATAAAAAACTTATCAATGTACGCATTTCTTCTTCCACACCCCATATTTACATTTTGATACTGGTGATAACGTTGTCATATTTTTATAGACTTGCGTTATTTTTTGATAGAGAGTAGAGATTATATATGTAAAATATGTGTACACATAATGTATCATAATGCGAGATTTGTATCGCGCATCTTAATATCGCATATCTACGCTTCCAAACACGCGAACAAACGCATAATACTGTTGAGACTAGCATCACATTCTCGCCGCACATTTAGTGGTTAACGCGATAATTCAAATGCGTGGTGAGATTGCATGCCATAAAAAGTCATTTAATTTTGTTGTTCCTTCTATTCTTTTTTTTGAATATATTTTTTACTCAGAGATTTGAATGTTTATTATATAATTTTCTTTCAAAGTGCTGCTTTTCTTTCTTTACCTGCAATGAAGTATTATTACAAATTTTTTTTTCTATATATACTTTATCATCTGTAATTTTGTTTGAAAGTATGTACGATTGTGTATAGAACGTATTAAAAAAAAACCTAATTTTAATATTGACGGAACACAACGTTCACTCCTAATCTTTTACTCGAGTTCTCTGTTCTATTTATAAATTCATACATTGTATAAATTTCCGTTCGATTGCACACTTGTACGTGAATGTAATTTAAGATAGAAATTGTATGTTAAACAATAATTTAATAAAATATTGATGGTTGAGAACTACCAATGCGTATTATTCATTAAAGTTAAGGTAATGAAAGATAAAGAGTTCTTTCGATAACGTTTTATAAATTAGAATGTACCAAAAGTCAAGACGAGTTACATTTTCTTTACGTATCATATAAAGACTAATAAATAATTTCACAGAAGGAATAGTTAAATCAACATTTTATAATCAATTTTTCCAAGAAGGGATTAAATAAATTAATCATTGAAAGTGCAACTTCGAAATCTAACGACTCATGTATCTTATAGCATATGAAAAATAACGTAATTTATGTGTATATAATATATATGTTAATTACTCACACATTAGCATCGTAACGTAACTAAAGAAACAAGGTTGTTTTTTTTCTGTTCATCATTAATTCCTTGTTTCTCGGTCAATACTGTATAAAATTCCATTTGCACTTTAAAAGTGAGAGTCATTCGTTGCGTATAAATACAACAACTATAAAATGTTTTAATTTAATTAATCGTCAGCGAATTAAAAGATCAAAATCTTTTGTAGTTCGCCTTTATCGGCGAGTTATCGGCCGACACGGCGGAGCGAAAAATATTTGTGGCCGGCAGAAAATTGGCCAATCGTCAGACGAATGGTCCAGTCCAGTGTCTGACGTGCGTCGTATTGCCGGCTACAGTCGTCTGTACTCCGTGCCTCTCCAGTACCGCCGTAGCCTTGATCCTGCTCTTGTACTTTACGTCCTTCGGCTTCAGCATGCTCTTGTGATTGCTCAGCAATCTTGACGGTGTGAGGATCGACTTGTTGCTGAGACCGGTCGCCTCCAGAAAGTGATCATATCCGCTGCTTCCGATTTCACCGTTGCCATTACTATTGCCGATAGCAGGAACATTGTTGTTATCTTTGGCAATGCTGTTCTCGTTCTGACCAGCGTTGTTGAATCCCACGTGACCAAGTCTCTCGGATCCGTCACCTTCAGGTCGATCGGGATCGTCCGACAGATCGCACTCGTCTAGATTGAATTCCTCAAAGTTCTGTCGGATATCGAATTCCTGTAATGAAAGAAAAATTCGTTTTTTATATATTTTTTTTTATAAAATTATATAGTTTTCTCAAAATATTTAATACATTTTCATAAGAGATCTTACATGTTCAAGTTCGGCATGACGGTCCTTCGGACGATTTCTGTCCTTTGTCTGTTCCTCGGGGTCGCCGATCTTAAACTCTTCGAAATGCCGAACTTGATCCTCCTTTTGTCTTACCTGGAAAGACGAGCGCACGTGGTTGAATCTATTCTTCCAGAATCCACCGTCTTTCGTTTCTCTCGCCGAGCTCCTGGCCGAACCTTTCGCTTCGTCCATATTCAGATTCCTTGCCGCCTTTGACGATGAAGAGGATATCAGTCCCAGAATACCTCTTTTTGTAGGATCCGCGCCTCCCGGGTCCTGCTGCCTTTTTTCATCAATCAGGAACGATGGACTAGGAATTTTCTTCAGAATTAGTGTGTTGTTGCGAAACTGTGGCTTCGGCGGCAACGCCGGTGGCGTTCTGGGCGTCGGTGATGTCGTTATCTCTGGTAACGACTCTATATCTTCATAATCCAGATTCTTGGCGATAGTTAATCCTCTTGCAGACATCTGCAGGCAGGTCTTCTCCTCGATTCTCTCCATTTTTAAAGGAGGACTACTCTGTTGGGATTTCGTTGGAATCTTTCTCGTCTCTTCGATATCGACTTTGGGCTCGATGATGACTAGTGGGATCGCCTTGGACTCCTTGGAACCATCATCGTCCGGATCCTTTTGGACGATCCTCATGCCAAACTCGTCTTCGGATACATTCGCATCGTTCTCCATAGTCTCTTCCTCCCTTGATGAATCCTTGTTATCCGTGACGGACTCCTCGGAATTTTTCCTTTCTATCTCGGAACCCACTGACTCAATATCGGACAACCTGGCTGGCTGAAAACGTACGATTCTGCCACGATGTTTAAACCTGCGCGGCACTGAGAGTACCAAGTTCTCCTCCTCTTCCATATCCTGTAACAGGATCTGATTCACGCACTCCAATACGGAGTTATGATTACTATTTGGCCGGTAGGTGCTGTGCCTGAATACATCATCGTTTAATCGATCTTCATCCGGATCACTATACCAATTTCCACTGGTGTCCTCCACCGTCAATTCAGGCGTCTCGATCTTTACCTCGCTGCGAAAAAGAAATCGAAAGGATCGTCTTTAAGGAACAAAAGAATATAATAGAAGAAAAAAATTAAATTAAATATCTAATGAAAATTTTAGTGGAGAAAAGAATCACTTGTAACGTACATATTGTTATTATTGCTATAATCGTCTTTTGTCCTCAATTGCTCCGTCCGCTGAAGATTTTTCTCGTTCACCTCGTTGCAGGCGTTAATGTAAATCGGTTCTTCTGTGTCTCTCTCTTGACTGCTTATCATGGTGTTAGTCTGTTCCTCATCCTCTGACACAAAGTTACAGTCCATCCCGTCGTCCTTGCTCTCCGTTCTCGCGATACCCACCATTTCAATCATGTTGGAACTTTTCGACGTCTTCTGACCCTTTGTCCTTTTTTTTATCGATACCATCGTCGTTCCATCTTTTTCCGTTAGGTCCTCCTCGTCCTCGTCTAAGATCATCGTAGTCTCGTTTTCGCTGTCAGTCACCGTCGTCGGTGTGTACCTGCTCGAGCATTTGTTCAAGGTTGAGCCAGGTGACACATCATCCGTACTCTCACCCTCGCAAAAGCCTTCCGTGCTGAGCAACGAAGGGCTGCCCTCCGTCGTCGTCGTGACGATGGATGCGTCCGTGTTCTCACTGCTGGTCAGACTGGCCTTTGAGATATCGCTACCGGCGAAACTATTCGTTTTCCTCACGCTGTTCCGGTCCAGTTCGTCCAGAATACTAGACGATGCCGGGTTCAGCCGTGTGATTATCTCGCACTTTAGACTTGCGATCTCTTTGCCAATACCGCTCTCCTGCAGCGTTTCTCTCTGAAAGAGATTAATCGAATAAGTTTAAATTTAGAAAACAGAACGTGAAAAGTATAGAATTCACTCCTATATTATCTTCTTTTTATATAAATTTTTTTTACAAATTAAAACACGGAAAGGATGGATTTGTTGAAATATTAAAAAATTTAGCTAGATCTGAAAATAATTTTATTGGATCGAAATAATTATAAGATGCTCAAAACTGGTTGCTAGAATATCAAAATTTTTTACTATTGTGCTTGAGATAATTATTTTGCTGATACAACAATGTTATTTTTAGATCTGTATATAATTATTAGGTGTTGGAATTAATTCGTAGCGTTTTTTAATGAAAGAATATTATTTATTTCACATGAGCATTAAAAAATACATTAATGAAAGTACTTCCCATCACTTGAAAAACGCTACGAATTAATTCCAACACCTAATAAATTTTTAGATGCTTCGACAAAATCATCCATCAAGTTTTTTCCATCAAGCTGCTGATAAGACTGCTGTAGAAAGACTTATATTACGTGGCTTTCTAATTAATTATTACGTGATTTTTTCAAATTACTTGCAAATTGCCAAAGTCCTTCTGTAGATTCTTATCGATATTGGTGACTTCGACATCGACGGCCAGTGTGGTTCGATCGCGCTTGCTCTTTATATAGTTTTTTGTATACCGCCTGAGCAACGCGATCTCCAATTGCTGATTTCTGATAACATTGTCCTTTTCGCAGAGCATCTGCCTGATAGACTTCTGCTCCTGCTTAAGGCGCGCTTCCAGGAACAACAGTGCTCGCAGTATCCTCGAGAGCTGTTGATCTCGCAAAATCTTCTCAGACTCATGATCGGCAATACGATGGTCCAGCTCCTTCACCAGCTCTCGGCATTTTTTCGTGGCGGTCTTCAGGGCGTCCTGGGTTCGCGCCAGTTCCTGCTTGAGCGTCCGGACCTCGGTTTCCATCTGAAAAACAATTTCAACAAATAAATCTCCAGTTCTCAATGGAATATTTCACGAGTGTGTGTCCGAAAAATATTTTTCCTCATGTTAAAGATTATTGTTGCGAGAATCTTAATGACAATCCGATCAGATTGAATTCGATCTTTTCATGAAAATATTAGATCATGAATAGAACACTTACATTTTACAGACATAAATTAAATATTAAGAAATTAAAGTTTTATCCGATTAATAGAATAACAGATTATTTTATAGAATCTCTTTATACATTCTCTCTATCATCTATTAATAATTCCTATATCCTCTCAAGATAAACGACTCGCGTTACGCGCAATGCGGATCGTGACGAGATAGATATTCATCGTGCATGGGAATACGACGTACAGATCGA